TCGGTCCCTGCTCCTGCCCACCTAGCAGTTCAAAAGCACGAAGTGCAAGTAGATAAATAGGTACCGCTCTGTCGGGAAGGTAAACGGAGTTTCCGTGCGCTGCTCTGGTTTCACCAGAAGCAGCTTAGTCATGCTGGCCACATGACCCGGAAGCTGTCTGCGGACAAATGCCGGATCCCTCGGGCTACAGAGTGAGATGAGCGCACAACCCTAGTGTTGTCCGCAGCTGGACCTAATGCTCAGGGGTACCTTTACCTTTACCTTAAGTCATCCTATAGTCTTAAAGTACTCTAATTCAATGGAGCATGATATCAGACACCTAACCAGGGTGGTTAAAAAAGAGATTATAAATTAACCCTTTTAACATTTTATTTTCAGTCATATATTTTAATTTGAAAATGTAAATTAAAAAACCCAATTCAATCATAATAAGCATTTCTTTAAAAATAATCTGATTTAAAAAGAAACCCATATTTAATATAAATGAAAATCTTTATTTCTGTATTAAAACTGAATCATGACCATGCAACTATTGGCAAATGGTTTTATAAGCAGCAATATGCATGAACCTTTTGCCCACTTACTGTGCCCTTCTCTTCCCTTTGTGGCATGCATCAATGAAATACAGAAATCTGTCTGAGGAAAGCTGGTGGAAAGTATTGTTCAAGATTTTTTTAAAAGGCCATGTCTTCCTGAAGCAGAACCAGCAAATGCAAGCCCTGCTTCACTAACCCACTAAAATTATTTACAAGTGTCAGCAAGCGTATACAGTGGTACCTCAGGTTAAGAACTTAATTCGTTCTGGAGATCCGTTCTTAACCTGAAACTGTTCTTAACCTGAGGTACCACTTTAGCTAATGGGGCCTCCCGCTGTCGCTGCCATGCGATTTCTGTTCTCATCCTGAGGTAAAGTTCTTAACCCAAAGTACTATTTCTGGGTTAGCGGAGTCTGTAACCTGAAGCGTCTGTAACCGGAGGTACCACTGTAGATACAAGATTATCTGGTTGGCATTGTATACTTGAACTTTAAAAGTGTGCATGCACACGAAAGCTCATACCAATAACAAACTTAGCTGGTCTCTAAGGTGCTACTGGAAGGAATTTTTTTATTTTTTATTTTGTTTCGACTACGGCAGACCAACATGGCTACCTACCTGTAACTACCTCACCAGAGTCATGAGTAAACTAAGCAGTCATGAGATAAGAAGAGAGGTCCTCTTGTGGATCAGGAACTGGTTATGTAATAGAAAGCAGAGGATGGGAGTAAAGGGACAGTTCTCCTAATGGACAGATGTAGAAAGTGAAGACACCCAAGGATCAGTATTGGTGCGCTGTGTTTTTTAACTTGTTTATAAATGATCTGGAGCTAGGGGTGAGCAGTGATGAGGCCAAGATTGCTCAGGGTCATTAAAACAAAGAGATTGTGAAGAGCTCCAAAAGGACCTCTCCAAACTGAGTGAATGGGCAGTAAAATGCCAGATGATACACGTTCTTCACATATATGCTCATGGGGTCTGAACTGCAAATGATCCCTGTGCTAGGGATAATTTGGAAAGGAGTTGAAAATAAAACTGCCAATATCATAGTGCCATTACACTAAGCTACAGTGTGACAGCATTTGGAATACTTTTTTAGAGTTTTAGTAGCCTCACTTCAAAAGGGATATTGTAGAGTTGGAAAGGGTTCAGAAAAGGGCAAAGGGAATAATTAAGGAGCAATTCCTCTGTGAGGAAAGGTTGCAGCATTTGGAACTTTTGGGGTTCAGAGAAAAGGTGAGTAAAAGGTGACGTGATAGAGGTGTATAAAATTGTGCATAACACTAGAACTCATTGACGTCCAATGAAGCTGAACGTCAGAGGATTCAGGATGAGCAAAATAAATGACTTCTTCATGCAATGCATAATTAAATTATGGAATTGGCTCCACAGTGATTGCCACAAACTTGGGTGGCTTTAAAAGAATTAGTCTTTGGATCCATGAATTCATCTATCAATGGCTATGCTCTGCCTTTACAGTTGGAGGCAGCATGCTTCTGAATACCAGTTGCTGAAAACTACAGGAGAGAGAGAGTGCTCTTGCGCTTTGGTCCTGTGTGCAGGTTGCTTGTAAGCATTTGGTTGCCTACTATGAGAACAGGATACTGGACTAGATGGGCCATTGGCCTGCACTGTATTCAATAGTGACAAGCCGGTTGCCCTAGAAACACCACCAGCAGGGCACGACAGTGTGTTGTGTATAATAAATTAAGTGGTGACTTCCCATCACCCAGGAATCTCTTTGCCACTGGCTGACAAAACCTATCACCTGAAGAACAATTAGCAGTAGCAACTCTTATAGCATTCTTCTTGACAAACACAAGCAGCATGATTTAAGGACAATTCAGGAACCTGAACCGCATGCCAACAATGGATATTTCAACACCATTTGTGCAACTGAAATGTGGTGGGGAAGTGAAACTGCTGAGGGAGGTGACTCATTGCTAACAGTAGCACTGACATGAGTTTATGTAGTGTTCATCACTATGAATGGGGCAAAGTAGGGTTGCTGGACAGTGGCTGCTCCCAAGGGCCCATGATCACCAACCCTCTCTAATTCTCAGCTGTTAGTCTAATTGTCTTTGCTCTATGGCAAACCATACGGCAAACCATAGAACCAAAACAGGGTTCTAGATCTGCTAAATACACCAATCTCCAGAACATTGGTAGGAGGATTGCAGCTAGGGAAGCTTCTGTTGGAAAGTGGCTACTACAGAAAGAAATGTAGTAGCCTTTCTTCACTGCTTTTGGGCACTTTGCAACAGTGAAGGGTGGTTGCAGGAATGTTACACATGGCTACAGTATAATGCAAAATTTAGGGATGGAGAGATTTGTTCAGTTCATATGTTAATCAATACACAGACTGAAACACAACCCTCCTTCAAACCCTGTGCTTCTCTGAATTTTGCAATGCAGTTTTCCAATGACAACAAAATGCATAAATAATAACTACCTAAATATGTTTACACCTAGATTCTATCAACATGGCCTGCTAAGATGGCATGCTGTATGGCTTCCACCCAGGTAACTACTGCAACATTTTGTGCTTGGCCAATTGAGAATGTTTTGCTGTCATGTTGCTTATTCATTATTCTTTTATTAACAGGCTGCTATGAATATGAGGCATATGAAGTTATGTCAATTCTGTGGCATGTTAGAGGCCACTCTGCAATCTCCATGAGATTACCCAAGTTTCACCACCCCTACCATGATCATCTGGGTGATCATATGGCACAACTGCACAGCATCATCAAACTATTGTGTCTATCATCAGCCTAACAATTATTCATGTTTCTGTGACTGTCTGCCTTCCACACTTCTTGAGATCCCCACTTGGAACACGTTTTCCATGGCAATGTGGCTCACAGAATCAAGCTATTGCTTGTCATATAATTGTGGATTTTTAGCTTACAATTTCTGAAGGGGAAGAAGCAAAATGTCAAAACAGAAATCCACTACACACAATGATATACTGTTAGAATATAGGTCTTGGGAACACAGTGGAGCACAAGAGTTTTATATTGATTCTGAAATTTGATTCCAAGAGCAGACCTACACATTTGTAAGAATCAAGAGGTATAGCCCTAGACAGACTGCACCACTTCAGAATGCAGGTGGGGGAAACGACTTAACTGAGTATTTCTCCATGTCAAAGACTCTCTTTCTTAAGAAATGTAGCCTTGCATTCTAACTTTGCCTCCTCACTGATGCATTAGTTCTGATGCAGAAAAGCATTGAGTTATGAAGCTGTTCCACTTGCACTCTAAAGCAATAAAAGAAATCATGAAAGACTGTCCCGTAACATGTGTAGAGTTAAAGGCCATTTTGATATGTTCTCAGTATAAAAAAACTGATATCACTGGACTAAGTATGTTAAATGCCCCTTTATAGTTTGCTCTTCTTTTTATCCAGAAAATGTAAAAACACTAACTCAAAAAAGTTATCTTTTAAAATATACTACATAGCTTGAAACGTTCAATTTATTCTTCAAAAGAGAAAGTTACTAAGATTAAAAAAAGACCAATGAATTAAAGAAAGGCTTTAAACCATTTCACAGGAGAAGTAATCGCAACATGACATTTTTCACATACAACTCAACTTTATTTCACAATGAAAAATAGGCAAAAGGCTGCAGAATGAAGGTGTCAGGTACAAATTTGCTTTGCAATTTCCAAGCAGCCTGAAACCCAGCAGACAATGTAGCTGTTGATTAACAAACACAGAATTCTACATTGTATGCCAGGTTCAGGCCCCAAGACTGGCTGCTCTTCTTTGATATGTTACTAAATCAATACTAAAATTGATGGTGCCCATCCAAATAGCATATGAAGGGGATCAGTGAACTACTACTAAAAATAGTGGAGATCACTATGCTCACAATCCAGTCTACTGTGGTTTCCCATTCAATGCCCCCCAGCTTTCCTTTAACAGAGCCCTGCTGGAAACCCCCAGAAGCTGCTGTGCACAGGCACAAATGTCACATTTTAGCAAGTGTGCCCAATATAAGTGTGAGCCAGATTACATTATTACATGTCTCAAACAAATATACATTTTGCTTCTGAACTGAATAAAAAGAACACAGTTGCAAAGTCTTATCGAAGTTCATTTGGGGAAACATATTGTTACAAAGAATTCCTGCTTGACTGTATGAGATCTGAACAACAGACTGCGATTATTGTTAGAGATAGCAGCTGGTTGCTGTGCATTTTGCCTAGAATTAGCTACTGTTTATTGTAAATCGTGATCGTTTCTATAATAAAATTATAGGCCTCTACATGAAAGGCCTCCTTAAATTCAATCAGAAACATAAAAGCGTTTCACTGGAAAGTGGGATCATTTTATTGAAAATCATTTCTAGACATAGCTCTGGACATTACTGAATAATTTTATTTTGTATCATGGAAAAGTAACAGCAGTTCACGGTATCCAAATAGTCATCAGTGAGGAGATGCCACAAGATGTCTTCAGAGACCCAGTAGCCAGATGTAGCTGCTGATTGAGAAAACAGAATCTACACTGACTACTGAGCGACTGATGAGCAACTGAAATTTCTGGACCAACAGCACCTCCACCATTACGCCAAACCTGTGGAAAAAGAATAAGAAGGAATTATCTAGATTTTGTATGTTTGTAAAAGAAACAAAAACTAAACACAAACCTCAAACCCACCACTCCACACGTTTTTAAAGAATTACACATTCCCTCACACTCAGGCATTGCAATAAGGCTTGCTAAGTTAGGTAACTTTGACTAGATCCTTTAGGAAGCACATTTGGATGTCTTAACATCTCCTCCATATAAGGAAATCCATAACACGTCATAGTAAGAAATAGTTCTTATACCAAATTATCATGTTTCAGTGATGTATAGAAAGGAAATGTCATCCGAAACCCACCAGCCAGATATATATATAACTGTTACCTGTTTCACAAGATACAAATCCTAGTACTCGTTCTTACAATTGTTCAAGGGTAATCTCAACATGGCACCATATTAGACCAAAATATCAATATAATATAAACAAGGCAGTGGAAAGGGAAGGGGTGAAAGAGGGGCAACTACTTTAAGATTAAGGTACATTTCTTTTTAAACAAACCGCTCATTGAATATACTGCATAGTAATCAATTGCGTACACATCACCTGAAGTAATTTCCAAGCACTTGCTAAGGCAGATCGTACTTAGTTTTTAAAAGATATTCAATAAAGTTATGCAATTTAGCACTTGCAATTACTTGTGTTGTAGAAAGCTTTCAAAATCAGTAATAATTTTAAGAGATTAGAAATATTATCTATATCCTATAATCTAACCTATGATTATTCACCCAAGGGGACTCCCTACACAAACTAACAAATTCTAATCTTCCAGATTTCTTTCCTATCATTTGCTGCTTCCACATTTTCAGATTCAGAAATATAAGATTGAATGTGGCAGTATTTGTTTTTATAATGGATGTTGCTACTGTTCTAACTTTTAGCAACTGATGAACCAGCTAAATTAAAAACAAGACAACTAAAGAGTGGATACTCATTCTCTGTTTCATTCATTGGTTTAAGATGGGGAGTTTTACAAGTGCTTAAGTTTGACTAGATTGTGCCCATAATGTGTTTGTTCTGAAACCCTTAATGTCTAATCTCTGCGTAAGAACAACCTACCAACAACTAGTCCAGCAGCTTGTCCTCACAATGGCTTTACGATGCTTTGGGGCTACATTATAATTTGCACTAGTCAGATTTGAGGAGTTACTTAGTGAAGCTAGTCAGATTCACTAAGTAGTTACTTAGTAAAGCTATAGCCATAGGGCAATTCATATTGTTGAACCAATGAGAGCATCCAGTGGAATAAAAAATAGGTAAGCAAATAAAATTATTTTAAGAGACACTCCTCCTACACACACACACTAGTACAGTACTCATTTTCCTGTATATAAGTCTCCACTGTAATAAATGAACATGACTGTGTGCCTGGTCAGGCCTAACAGAGCAAGTGTTTAAGATTCACTACATCATGATACACAAAATCCTCAAACCTGGCTAAATAGTTTAGATTCTAGCAAATATTTCCTGCTGCTGTTCTAACAAGAGCTGAAAAACACTATTCAAAGTTGGAAAAGATGTGCATAGCTTAAATGGGGGGGGGGAATCAAATCCAGAGCACCCCTTAATAGGCTCCTTTTTAAGCTAATAAGATGTCTCATTAACAAACAGAAGAAGGAGACTGCACCCAAGAGAAGGTCAAATAAATATTAAGCAAAATACAACATCATTATTGTGCAACAACACAAAGGCAGCTGACTCAAGGGCTTGTGAGTCACATCCCAACACACTCAGGCCTGTTCTAGCCTGAATCAAAGCACAAGTTTGCCTGGTATGATTTAATGTTCTTAAAACTGATCAATCAAATGTACATTAGACTCATGCACACATCAGGTGTTTTTTTTAATAAATCTGGGGTGGTGGTGGAAACAATTAAAATGTATGAATTATGTACACACACATAAAGAAAAACAGGGAGAACACAGTTTCCTGCTTGAACTGCCTTAAGTAAATACAGCAAACAGACACACTTAAACTTTGGAATTAAATTTCAAGTTCATTTGGAAGGGCAATCTGCTGCAATTAATTGTAATTATGATGGCTCCAAAAACTACTTTACAGTACTGGCTTCTTGAATGAATAAAACTAAGCCACCCGAAGTGTCTGCCAACCCACCAGATTCCTACCACTTCTCACTGCCAGCTCTCTATGCAACCCTATTGCATTAGCAAAGCTCCCCCCCCCCCCAAACTATGAAGTGGACAAGCCACTGCTTGGATATGAGCTGTACTTATATACTTTGGACCTCTAGCAAAGCTTGCGATCACTAGGAATGGCAAACACCTTAGAAGTCTTACAGAGCTTCACATACATTACAACAACCCTGTGAAGCAGGTCACTTACTGCCCACATATTATATAGACTGGGACCAGAGGCAAAAATAACAGTGAGCCCAAGGGCAGTTAGTGAGTTTGTGGCTGGGGTAACATTTGAAATGGGAACCTCTCAGCTCACATCTGGAGCTAAATGTGGTATTGAGCAAGTGATAATTAAGTCACCTGTTTTTTTTCTAAAAAGTAAGTTGAACAGCATCCAGGGGAACTACAGTGCTGGGTGAATGGGGCACATTAATTCCCCACCGTTTCCCAAGCTGCTATTTGTCCCAAGGGCACTTGTATGTTTTGCCACATAAGGGTTTTCCAAATAAAATCTCCCCTAGGAAGATATGATTAGCACCCCCATTACCCTCTAGTCCCAACTAGATATGACCCTGGTTATTACTGCACTCCCAGCATCATATCTAGCTGTTCCCTTAGCCAGTACGTTACATACACAAGCTTTCATTACGTAGGTCAGCTAAGCAAGAGTATATGGTTGCCACCTGCCAGATTTCAAACAAGCTGCCACCCAGATTTTATTTGTAATTCAGCCTCAAGTGTGTGAAGCAAAGGGTAAATATTAGGTTTTGCAAATATTAAAAAGGTATATATACAAATAAACTCTGGCTTTTTTCTCTTCCCTAAAAGACAGCTGGATTCACAATGTAGCAGAGATACGCTAAAGGCAAGAAATGTATCAAATCTCTGAGATTCTGCTCACCTCTCTATTCTTTGTTTATTCGTCATCTTGGCTTCAGTAATGATTTTATTGTTGTAAGGAAGAAGGTAATGTTGACGGGGGAGCTTATAAATGGAAGGCTGCAACATCCACAGTGGCCAGTAAACCCTGGGGTCCTGCTGCCGACTGGGGACATGGAGGTTTCTCCCTTCCCACGCCAGGTATTGCAGCTACGTGCTTACCCTGCAGCTGAGGGAGGGGGACATGAACCCACCCACTCTTTGCTTTCATTGTGCACAGCCAGGCACATGTGCAAACTCCACACCTTGTTCCTCTCCATGCACTTGGCAGGAGTAAGGGTATGTTACTTAGATGAAGAAGCACACATGAAGCATTAACTCCTTTTATACTTGCATTATGCAATATTTAGGAAATTTTGCTTCTTAGTTCAGGAATTCAGCTAAACAGATTACTGTGTGGAAAATGCACAACACAACACTCATCTAGACCAGTAGGAGGGTGCAGATTGCATGAATCATAGATGTAGCTTCCCCCCCCTTCCAAAACAAGACGACATTTTTGTACAACTTTGTGTTATCACAGATGTGAGCTACCAGTTGAAACCTGGGTGCCTAATTAAAGCACATTCTTGCAAACTTGATTTGCTACTGTTACATACTGAACTAAGAGCCTGCATACCTTAAGAAAGGATCTATGATTTTTGTAATGATTCCAGCTCTTGAATAGCTGAAACCCTGTGACTGTATTGGTCATACACACTCCTAACAGCTGATGGTCACTTGACTCACACTAATTAATAAAGTGCTCCATAAATTAAGTTTTGGATTGAACTAAATGTAGCCAGGGAAATTCCTGTCCTAGGCACTTTTAATCACTCTGCCAGATAATACTAGTATGAGCAGGCCTGAAGAGGTGGGTGGCTGGCACAACGCTCTAGAGCGAGTTCCCAAAGGCAAAACCACTGGCATGCCCATAAAGACAGACTCAAACTAGTTTTAATTGCTGATAAATGTAATTAAGTAGCTACCTTTATCCTTGGTTATCAATAGGAGGTTCCCTGGAGGTTTGTAAATGATACTTACAAGCAAGCTTGACAAAATATTTCAGATTCCTTAGGCACCAACATAAAATTTTTAGGAATTAACTTTCCAGAGAACTCAACATGGCATCAAATTCCTGGGCATCAGGTATCTGGGCTTCTTCCAGCTCCACTACAGATCACAAATACGTCAAGACCGTGCAGCATGCTACTTTTTTCTGTTGATGAAAACTCATTTTGTCTGGCAGTAGTGGACAAACAGCAGCAGCCTTAACCAATATGACCTATTACATCAGTTGAACACTGTAAATACAATATATAATATATAGATGTGGTACAACATGCTGTGGCTCACCACTTCCCACCCCCAATATATCCAATATCCTGAAAATCCATGGGCCACAGTCTAGGGAAAGACAAAACTTTCTGTCTCAATGTATTTCCATTTTCTATTAATATGTGTGTGACATTGCTGCTTTAATGCTAGATATCAGCACTACATTTATAAGGCTCTCTAAGAGCCAGGTATGTTGCTGTGAGAGCTGCAGAAAAGATGAAGGCGGCAAATTTGGATACTTATTTTTCCAACGCATCCTTGCAGCTCATTGGCTATGGGTGGCTGAAAATATATAACGCATGTACCAGAAGCAGCTGCTTGCCTAGTTTGGAAAGTATGCATTAGACTGTAAGAGCTCGAGGCACTGAGCATTTCTGAAAGATGACCAATTTCATAAAAATCACCCTACATCTTATAAGTCCATTCCATAGACAAGATTCTCAAGACTTCAGTACCACAGCCTATCAGGTAAGATATAATTTCATAATATTTATATACTGCTTGATTGTAGAACAAAAAAAGCACAAAGCTGTTTACAAAAAAAA